ACAAGGGGAAGACTCAGCGAAAATGGCAGACCATCGGGTGCCAGGATAAAAAAGGGACAATGAACGAACGAGTCACATCCATGCTATGCAAGAACATGAAAAGAACAAAAGTAGTAAGTAAGCATCATAGAAACCAGGTAACCGAAACTTTCCTGTCAAAACGAGCAGTAGGGGCGAAAATGGCCCAAAATAAATTATAGCTCCAAATTTGAATACGAACGAACGAATGTTACAGATACCTATGTATAGGACGCTATGCTTTATACACGGTTTTACTGATTATGATATAGGAGGGTACGTTGTCTAAGGTTAGTGAAAGAAGCGATTGTTTCGCCACCCACACTTGTCATCTAATAGTATATTAATTGAAATTGTCTTCTATGTACTGAATATGATTATTATAATTAACAGCAGCGTCAATTAGGTTACCATGCTGAGCGTAAATAGTGGCAATGGTGTACACGGCAGTATGAAGGGCAAATTCACAGTAAACATGTATCGCTCACCAATATATTATAGCTGCGTAGAATTGATGATGGCTCTACCTTTGGCGGATGTGAACCAATCAATCTGATGATCGATGAAAATGACTCACTGAAAACTGCCAACGATAAAGATTTGAATGATAAGTTGTCTGAATGGGTGTTTGCAATACAATTATATGCAGAATCGCATTTTCCACTGTTAACTTCGCTATAGGGGTTGACTAAATCAGTATAGACAAGAATCATAAGATACAGTACATAAACGTTTAACGGCTCGTCTAGATGGTCTCCTAACGTACGACGCTTATCCGAGCGTCTTTACTGGTGTACTAGTGCATGTATACAGCCCTATCGTCGTAGACATCTCATTTAGTAACTCCTTTGCTCACTTTTATATAGAGAAACACAACCCTCTGATGAAAAAGTACGGTCGAAACGAACCAGAGCGAACCTGTTGGACTATGAGACTCAACTGGGGATGTCATCAACTTGTAAAATGGCACCAAGCCCTACTGGAATGAACGGTGACTTCAGATGCCCGTTAGCGGTGGCGCGGGTCTTTCGAAAGAGCACTTACAAACAGAGTACTGATTCATGCTGTAGTGGGTTATTAATAGTTTGTGCCAGCCTACTGGTACTTGGTTTGTTCTACTTGCAGAGCTTCACTTACGTAACTGTCGAGCAACGGAGAGCATTGTTGGTGCATCGAGCCAAATCACGGGCCAACCATGTTGCAACATCCACACCACCGGCGTTGCATTATCTTCTACCAAGGCAAGCATCGTTGCTATGGACGACCATAAACCACCATATACAGTCAGCTGTCCACCGAATCAGCTGCGTGCAAAGAGGGAAACATTCGTTGATGTTAAAGCCCTTGTACGCTAACCTAGGATAAGAATGGTGAACCTTTATTCTGTCTGGTCGGGTAGAGGTGGTAGGGGCGTCGGTCGCATCCAGATAAGAAGCTGACTCACAGACAGATAGACGGACTGACAGTTCGATTCGTGCAGAATGACTGGCAAGATAGAGGCGGGGAGATGCTAGAGTTGCTTTGCCCATCCATTGGATGGTTGCTTCCATCAGCTAGATAATTAGCTGCCTAGTGTGGCTGCAGCCGCCTCCACGGAGATCGTCCTCTTCATAGTGGAGGCTCGTCGAAGCCCCTTCTCGTAAGCTGGCCTGGATACCCATTATCATCAGGAAGTTGCAGCATAGGACAGCAGCATAACGTAACCGCGCCCAGAGCGTAAGGAACTGATAGAAAGAGAGCGCATATCTACATACATATAAACCAACACCCATATCCCTCCCGGGTGCCATGCGTATGTATATTTGCCTGATCCCCAATGGTCGCGACTAATATGATGGTTGGGTGTCGAACAGCGAAAGATGAGGTGGGTACCGGTACCAATTACGTGGGGGAGTGAGGCTCTGTGCAAAAGACCGAGGCAAGATCTTGTGTCGTCCAGACCCAGCATGGCGCTGATGTTCCTCCATCGAACACTTCCTAAGCCCCACATCTTAGATAGATGAAATTAGGAACGGGCGGTCAATTGATGGATACTGGGAGCTCATGATTGTGATCATACAGGTACACATATACACACACAGTGCCGCACAAACAGGAAACGCGTTATCCTTAGATACTGGAAAAAATTTGACCGTGTCCGGTATGTTTGTGTGTTGGCCAGGGGCAAATTCTTTTTCCAGTGTCTAATAAACCTAGTTCATGGTCAATGCAAGAACGAAAAGTCGTGAAAAGATAGATTAATGAAACGATTTTTGGAAGTTGGTTGAGACAAACGAATATCCAAGAGTCTTCTACTAAATCTTCGTTTCTTATCCCGTAATGTAAAGACGAGACCGTCACAGACCAACGCTAGCCGCGTATGCATTTGCATGTCTATGTTGTCCATGTAACAGCATTGACGAACGTACATAGACGGCATGTATTATACAGACCTACACACATATGTGCGGAACTGGCTTTTGACAGCGACTAAAAGCATTCGATTGAGCAAACGCTACCGTACTGTTATATATGTATATATATATATGTGTTAAAGAAAAGGTCTCCTTTGCATATAACTGACTGCTAGCCTACGTGGCGAAGATTTGCCCCTTCTCCGGTTATCAATCCACTCAAGTCCTACAAAGTAAAGGTAGCGATCCCTAATTCTAGCTCAAAGCACGATGCCAGCGTGCAGAAAGGTATGATAGACGCTTTGGTTTGCGCATAATGCGTTACTATCTGAATTAACGACGTTTCACAGGCCTTTATTATTGACTTATGTATATAGGTGTGCATTATACTTTCTGACACCACTGCTAGCCTACACTACAGTTATGGAGTTCGTTGAAGAACCCAGAGGTCCCGATAGCCTCCATAGCCCTCTTCCCCGATTCTCCCTTTCCATAAGGCTGTATATGTATAATACAATATTTGTGTATCACAAGTCAAACTGGGCGCATCCGTGTAACATATGAAACGGCAGCCATATTGACAGCAGTCATCTCGAACATTAGCTGTCCTAGAGAAATTGGCGACTTCAAGTCCTAACTGCAGTCGATCGGGATTCATACCTCGAGTGACTACGATCGCGAAGCAGATCATCGGGCGGCCAAAATTTCACGGAAATTAATGAGAGATGATCCGATACAACCCATTCATTTCTAATCTGAATTCACATTATCAATGTTTCATAGAATAAAAACATTCGTTTCGTTATCGACGTACTAACCGGACAGTTTCCCAACAAATATAAGCAGTCAAACGTTTTCTAGCACAATATGTGTACATGCAACCTTTTACGATATCACTAAGTAAAAAGAGGCCATGGGACGTTCAAAGTACTCTTGTTTGAAAGATATCGAAAATGGGTACAATATCGGACTGATTAATGGTTGAATGAGGCGGAAGCAACGTCAATGAATATCTCCGTCCGACACCGAATCGAGATTTCTTGAAAATAATGCGTTTTCTTGAAGAGTCAGGACAGCCAGTCAGACGGGCCTAGCTGATGCAAAGGACTTATGTGAGAGGTTAGTAGATTCATCGGTGAAGCTGTATACCATCCCGCTGGAAACGATATGCTGAAAAATCGACTCGCGAAAGCTTCTTCTGGCGTCATGCGCTCGCTTTGCTGCCATCGGTCCAATCTGCTGTCAGAGTTGCATTACGTAGCAAACGAATAAGCCAGCCAGCCAGCCAGCCAGCTTCAATAAGCAACACACATCAGCTTACACACCGATACAAGGCCGCCCGCCACAGCACAACAGAGCCCCAATTCCAGCGACCCAGCCGGCCTGTATTCATGGATGCAGACTGCTTGAAATGCCAATTATAAGGTGCATTTTTCAAAACAGCGCGCCGAGAAATATTAATATCTGGAGTTAGCGAAGGAGCCGGGGAGTCGCTGGAGGCAAAGGGCTGTGGAGAGTTTGAGGCATTGCAGATCATTACGTGGTCCCATCTTCCCCACACAGTCCCTATATCAACCGCGTTTGGGCAGCTCTGAAGACTGGCTATATTGAGCTCAGCGCTGGCATAGGGGAACGATACAAGCGCCTCAATTGGCGTGGCTGTGGCGTCATTTGAATCTAGCCTGACAAGCAACGAACCCCCGAAGAATCTTAGGGGAGCAAGCCCGGGTAAACACTTATTCCACTCACATACAGAAGTACGTGTGGTGACTTTGTAACACAACAAACTGAACATTTCATTGTGTTCTAGGTGACAACTGTCACCCACTGTAACAACGGGTCGGACCCTTGTGGCACCTCTAGACTTTGCTGTAAATGCTAGCGTTAAACATTCGAAATCGTACACACACTAATAAATAACGTAGAATTTTCTAAATATGTAGGAAGTAAGAACTCCCAACGATATAAATTCAAATTACGTACGTCACAAGAACAGCGCCAATAATTGTCGGGTTGGTGAAGTTCACGATCTATAACTCATGCGATATACTAAGCTAGGTGTGTTAGGACAGGATGAAAAGTATGTTCATAAGTGTACTCGGAGAGAATATTATTTCCTTGAGTAAATAATTATAAATAAAGAAAACTAGAAGAGATTATGTCTGAACTGCAGTGTAATTGCAAAATTTTACATGGCGTGAGTTTGTCACCACATGGCGACAGAAGCCTCATTTACAAGAGGAGGGCAGCCGACTTCAGTCTACTGTGAACTGTACGAGTAACTATAGTAGGTAAAAAGCGAAGACGATAATAGTGATGAAGCCATTCTCGCCGACGGCAAATATGTAAAAATACGCGTCAGACTTTCGTTTTTGGTCCTGATGGCCTGTTAGCCGTCGTACATTAATGAGCCTTCGAGACGTTTGCTGTCGTTATCGTACTTACGGCTTGTCTAACGCACTGTCTCCCTGCCACGCCTAGTACACCGACGGTCATCGCAATCGGTTTTGATCAGTAAAAGGCTTTTTCTGCTAGAGTCCACACCATTCCCATGATCCATCTATTTTGCACTCTAGCGACTTCACTTACCGACCAGTTTTGGTGATGATCATTTCCGTGCCGAGACTGTGGAATTTTTCCCACAACTCTTTGGTCTCGAGATGAACTTCGACCATCTCGAGATCGGCGGAGTTGCAACTCGGGTAGCACTGCGGGTTCTCCCCAACGCGCTGCTCTTTACTGAATTCGCGCTCACGATGCTTTGACTCTCTTACATCGCTGGACTCGTGAAGTGACGGCAATTCCTGATCCAGTCTCGTTCTGACAGCGGGCGATATTTTACGGGATTTTCCTCCTGAAAGGTTGTAATCGCAGAATCAACTTTTGATTTAGGTAGCCTATCTTATAATGTGGACACTCGATGCATACTGTCTACGAAGTGTTTGCATGCATATACATATAAATGGCCACCGATGATTTATAACAAGTATCACCAATTAACACATTGTGTATTATAAACAGTATCAGCCTGGAAAACACTCGCCGTAGAGCTACACTAAGGGCACATCACAACAAACGAAAGAAGGAGCATGGGTACCTCCATTCATGCGAGGTGAACTCATGTCACGTACAAAGATTTGTGGTTCAAAGCATTGGTAAGGTCTACTTTAGAATGGCCTTCTCATTTCTTGCCTCAATTTTTAAGCACGTTTATTTACCGTTCAGAGCTGAGGATGGTAAAGACGTCCCCGATGACCGCAAGTGGCCTGGCGAGCCATGAGCAGGCTCATGAGAGTGGCCGTGCGGATGGCTATGTGGGTGCAGCAGCAGCGAACGCTCCGGTGACGGTGATGACGGGACACTCATTTTCCGCTGTTTTGCTGACGGTCTGTACGACGAACCGTCACCTCCGACGTGGCCATGTTGCACGAGACGCTCTGAATGAACGAAGTGGCCAGAACAGAGAAAAGCGAACAAGAGTCATACATTTACTATAAATCCCAAAAATAGATGGGCTTACGGTTCGCACTCGTTAAAAATATATTGAAAACGATCCCCAAGATTGACGCTAGGCATGAATGTGCTTTTGGCTAGTCAGGATATGGGCGAAGTGCTTTTTCAGCGAGTTCCTTAATATTGTTAATGTGTTGGAACGACTTTCAGAGTAATTTGTTACGTGTGTTGGTCGAGCTGGCCATCATCAATCATATCAACGGGCGTTTATTCCACGGAGGGCAGCATGTTATTGTGACTTCCTCAGAACAAACAACAGCTCTATGTACATACATATTGCAATGGTGATGCCAACTCATCCTCTATTATTTTGCAAAATAATACAGAAGTTATTGGTACGTGAAACATAAAAATAGCTAAAATATATTATAAATTGCTCTAACTTCAGCCGATGTATTGTTTTTATTCTTTCGATAAATAAATAACAAAAGTTTGTAGTTTTGAGCAGATATTGATCTGCCAATTGTCTGTAATTGTGCAAAAAAGTTTTGTGTACGCGTATCTACAAATACAACGACGCTGATAATGGCAAAAATTATTTAAAAATTTATTGTGACGAAAAAAGGGAAGCCAATCAAGGCTGAGCTTTTTTTTTGTTTTTCCTAGAAAAGCGTCTCTCTGCGTTTGTAGCTTCGCCGAGGAGCTTCTTCTGATATCCTCCGTTCTTCTGGGTAGAGATATCGGCACAAAACGAAATACGTTCGCACTGACGTACAATTACCGGACGAGCGCGCTTTGCTCTGGTCTCTTAATGCGCCGATCGATCTAATATTACAGTAAGTATCAGCTGAATTAATGAATTTTTACTTTTCTTTTTTTAATGAATACAGATAATAGACTTTATTAGCGTTCAGGCAACATAACAAACGGAGCGCGGCGTTCAAAAATCACTTTCACCTCTGTTACTGTTGTGTTTCTCCTATGATGTCAGAGCGTCATCAAGTTGACATTTAATTAACTAGCAAGACATAGGATATTTAGCTTAAGTTCAAACCACAATCTGCTTAGTGTCGATATTACGATTGCTATTGAGCTGAGTTTGGTAAGTTGACGTTGATGACGCCTAGTCCCACCTGTCAATATTTCTATTGGGGAATCTGAGTGTTCCTCTGATTGTTAATGTTGTCACTGTTGTTGTGTTCGCCCGATTTCTGCTGGGTTGGTTTCCGATGGTGTACGGCTATTTGCAGAGATCCCTTAGTCGATTTACGCACTAGATGTTCGCTGTTTCGAACATTGCTGCCCTCTGTATGATGCCTAGGAGTCTATGTATGCGATCTTTGTAACCATATGCTTCTATAAGTCCCATTGATTAACAGTAACAAGTCAACCGATAACGGGTCCGGCCAGTCGCTTCATGATTTCTGTCTCGAGTTTATCGCTGCGGGGATCCGAGTCACAAACAAACCCCATGTCGCCGATTTCCGAACTCAACTAGAGCAGCAAATTGGCCTGTTGAACAAATGCGGTAAACATGGCGTTTAGCATTAAACTACTTTGCAAGGATAGAAGAATTATTGACCGGTATTGTCAGTGTAACGGAATCGTAGCGGGCGGGCTGGTGGCACGCGTAGGGGAGCTAACATCGAAACAAGATCTGGACAATTTCGAACGAATCCTACTGCGGTAAATTTCAATATTGTTGATTAGCTCAGTCGCTAAGGAACGGGCGTAGAGATACAAGTTTAACAACTTGCAGTTTTATAGGACAACGGGCCGAGACAACACGTCCTCGGCACCGAAAGGTTTTATTGCAGACAAGTCGCTGAAAATTTGCCGACATGCACTCGACGATACCTTGCAACGTAAAGCATCAATTTCACCAGCTAATCAAAAGCTAATTCGAAATTGAAAAACTCTAAATTTTATAAGGAGGAAAACAGAGAGTTAAGTTCGAAAATGTCTTCCATCGTCTGCCGTTCGTTTCGAATGATTCGTCTAACAATTCTATCGATCCCCCCAGTACATTATACCTAAAGATAAATGTGGCTGAATGAGTGATCATTGACTTGAGAAACAGGCCAGGGTAGCAATATCTGCCGGCAAATGCTGGTAGAAATGTGAGTCACTTTGTAGGCGAGTGGTCACGTCTTTGATGGCGGCCGCAGGAATGGCATCTGCCTGTGTATAGTATTATTACCGCTGTTCTTAACTCCACCTGACGCGACAGCATCGCATAAGTTCTGACGCGCCGCCAGTAGTGGCGCACCCGCCGCCTTTACATTTTACGCCGCTACAAGACAACATTCATAGCTCGGTAATTACCGAGGTGTAGCCACACCGTTTCGGGGCCTCCACCGATCTCCTTGGGTTGTCCATTGCCCCTTTTTCTTCTTTTCTTTTGCTGATTGCCGCGGTAGCAGGGGTAAACATAGCCCTTGCTAGTGGTGCCTTTACCTTCATCCCTCGACCCGCGTTTATAGCAAAGGAACGAGCGACGCGGCAAACGCTTTGATGAAGAAACTCTTTGCTCTCTTTGAGGTAGCGACAGCGGAGCGGCGAAACAACTGAGTAAAGTACTGAAGACGTAGCTAGGGCCTTTAATGCGGAAGTAAAGAAGGGGGCAAATGTGGGTATGTTTTACTCTATTCGATCGCTTTATCGCATTTCAATAAATTGGCCCGCCAATGCTTGGACGAAGAAAGACTGCAGAAGAAGGTGAGAAACGAAGTTGAAGGGGTCAGACGCAAAACAAAACATCTCAACGAACAGCACTAATGTTTGTATGTACATATGTATTTATATACTGCAGGTGGATAATATAGTCGCTGCATCTGGAAGAGTTGTTATGGAACACCCAAAAGAGGATTTCGACCGGACGACGGGCCAGTAAGAAGTCACAGAAGAAACAGGGTGGAAGCTCTGGTTGAAATTGTTCCTAAAGGTTTTTAGGGAACTGCAGCGGTGATTCGCCCACACTGCAGTGGGCTAAAAATAACAAGACGGTTGGGGGATTGCTTGTTCATGCGCAAGTAATATCGAGCACTTGACAGAAGACTGTATAGCTTAAAATGCATGCAAGAATACAGATGACAAAACGCAGAATAGCCCGCTTGTCGAAGCTAATCAGTAAGATACTAATGCTTTTAGACATCTTTTATACTGAAGACAGTTCGGTCAAAAAATACAATCTACTTAAAGTTTAATATAGGATAATATTCGCTATATCATTATGTGAGTACTGTTTTTTTGGAAATTTCGTAATTTTTATCTTACATTGACTCTAATCGCCTTTGGAGCGGGACGGCTTAGCGCTTTGAGGTAGCCGTTGCCGCTATCTGTTCGGTCTATCGAATACCCGCATCTCGTGGGGGTTCGTGTACTTGGACAACCGTAGATTGGCTGAATTGTATTTAGTAAAAAGTGTCTTTTCCATCACCTGCAATGTTAACTTAGATCGATGCTAGCACTGTTGCAAATTGCCCAATGATCTGATATAGAGAACAATCAAGTAGTCAGAATCGCTGGGCCTCGAGAACGCGAAGTGACTTTCCTTAAGTTGTGCCGAAATCTAGGTAGAAAAAACTAGTAAGTTCCACTGCCAACGAGTTTCTTTATGCACTGAATCTCTCACTAATTTCGCGTCAAAAAATTAGCATCGCTTTTTTCTGTCTCGCGGTTTGCCAAGGAATGTGGTCTTCTATGGACAGCGACCAGCCAGTCAGTCAGCTCATTGGTACCTATAGTACTAGAGCCAGCGCTCATTTTGAATCGAAAGTTTAATTCGGGCTAATCCGCTATTACACAGATACGTTCATAACGCAACCCCGCTCGCTGCGGGTCCTGGGGTCTTTAATTATGCACTGCGGGAACAAGAGCTGTACGTACGGTCTGCTATGCCAGCTTCTGGTTAGTTATACTTCGTGCTGACTTTTCGACATCAACTGTTACCAACGACATCCACTACATCGGTGCCAATGACACTTCTTCAAACGCTGTTATTTGGACTTTCTACAACTGGTAGACCTTTGTTCGACGACTACTTTGTCCACTATCTCGTGCCCAGCGCCGTCCGTATGCCTATTGCCCCCTTCTATCGGTGTGCAACCGCATCTATCTCTTTGGTTTGTATATGTACGCTAATGTGAGCGCGGCTGTGGGTACATGTTCGGGCCAATGTATTGATTGCTATTGAATTGATGAATCGGATCCATGTTCTCCTGTCTGTCCATAACTGCCGGCAGTATTACACTCTGATGAGGCCGCTGCTGGCTCTCTTCTCGTCCGTCCATCGAGCCTAACATACGGCCAGCGACAAGCACGAACGACAATAACAACGACACACACTAACATAACATCCACGGACACAAAAATTTAGCGGGCAATAAACAATGCTGTTCAGCTTTGCGGCCAATTTATTCCTACTAGGACCACCCGGACGTTGACAGTGTGCCAATCGGCGATGGCGCGCATTTGTACGGACACAGATTATCGAACACAGTATGCTAACCAAAGTGTACACGTGTAGCAGAGGCGGCTGGGAAAGTTCGTGCAATAGAAAGCAGAAACTCCTGACGATTCGATGAAAGTATTGACAGTGCCTTCACAAGCTGTCAGAAGTGAACAATCCCTGCTGGATAAACGGCAATCAGAAGTGAGTATATGTATATGAATGTTCTGGGGTAGTACGAGTAAGTTCAGTCCACATGGTAACCTTGCTTACAAGGGCAATTTTGACAAGAACGATTCTGGACGAGCTAGCATCGTTGAGGTGTCATCGAACTAACGGCTGGTAGCTGTGAAAGCTACGCATAGTTTTTAACAACAACTTCCGTCACGCATGCGTACCTTGTAGCGTGTGACGTTGGCAGTTTTTTTTTTGGGTCGATGTTAAATTAGCCTTCTTCATCTTAAAAAAATATATTAGCTGAAATTTTGCTAATGGCTGAAAATAGATAACAGGTCAATGCATAAAACAACAACC